TAAATAAATAAATAAATAAATAAATAAATAAATAAATATCGGTTTGAACATTAAATATCTTGTCTTTGTTGTGTATTCAATTGAATTTAGGTTGAAAAGGATTGGCAAATCATCTTTAGCTGCTATTTATGTTTTATACAATATTCCCAATTTAATTGGAATTGCTTTTGTAAGTGTGTGAGATCTGGGATTAAAACTTTGTTATTAACTGTTGGAGTCAACCCTGTCTGTTTTTGAAATATTTCATGAACCACCAAACGGATTCAAATAAAACTCAGAAAGTACAGGTCCTTCTCAAAAAATTAGCATATTGTGATAAAGTTCATTATTTTCTGTAATGTACTGATAAACATTAAACTTTCATATGTTTTAGATTCATTGCACACCAACTGAAGCAGTTCAAGCCTTTTCTTGTTTTAATAGTGATGATTTTTGGCAAAAAAGTAAAGAAAAATCAAAATTCCCTATCTCAAAAAATTAGCATATTTCATCCGACCAATAAAAGAAAAGTGTTTTTAATACAAAAAAGTCAACCTTAAAATAATTATGTTCAATTATGCACTCAATACTTGGTGGGGAATCTTTTTGCAGAAATGACTGCTTCAATGCGGTGTGGCGTGGAGGCAATCAGCCTGTGGCTCTGCTGAGGTGTTATGGAGGCCCAGCATGCTTCRATAGCGGCCTTAAGCTCATCCAGAGTGTTGGGTCTTGTGTCTTCAGCTCATCCAGAGTGTTGGGTCTTGGGTCTCTCAACTTTCTCTTCACAATATCCCACAGATTCTCTCTGGGGTTCAGGTCAGGAGAGTTGGCGGGCCAGTTGAGCCCAGTAATACCATGGTCAGTAAACCATTTACCAGTGGTTTTGGCACTGTGAGCAGGTGCCAGGTTGTACTGAAAAATGAAATCTTCATATCCATAAAGCTTTTTAGCAGATGGAAGCATGAAGTGCTCCAAAATCTTCTGATAGCTGCATTGACCCTGGCCTTGATAAAACACAGTGGACCAACACCAGCAGGTGACATGGCACCACAGACCATCACTGACTGACAACTCTTCTCGTTGTGCAGCGTTCTCTGCCACACTTTTTCCTTCACGCAGAGTGCTGTATCAAGGCACCTCAGTGGGAAGTCTGGAGATGAATATTTCATTTTTCAGCACAACCTGGCACCTGTTCACAGTGCCAAAACCACTGGTAAATGGTTTCCTGACCATGGTATTACTGGGCTCAAGACCCAGCACTCTGGATGAGCTTAAGGCCACCATCGAAGCATCCTGGGCCTCCATAACACCTCAGCAGAGCCACAGGCTGATTGCCTCCATGCCACGCCGCATTGAAGCAGTCATTTCTGCAAAAAGATTCCCCACCAAGTATTGAGTGCATAACTGAACATAATTATTTGAAGGTTGACTTTTTTGTATTAAAAACACTTTTCTTTTATTGGTCGGATGAAATATGCTAATTTTKTGAGATAGGGATTTTTGATTTTTCTTTACTTTTTTGCCAAAATCATCAATATTAAAACAATAAGAGRCTTGAACTACTTCAGTTGGTGTGCAATGAATCTAAAATATATGAAAGTTTAATGTTTATCAGTACATTACAGAAAATAATGAACTTTATCACAATATGCTAATTCTTTGAGAAGGACCTGTACATGACTGTACGTCAACACATGATTAACATTTGGAGTCAAACCAATTTGGGATGGCTGCCACAGTTAATTAACTTTATCCTACACAAAAGGGGTTATACTGCAGTGAATTTTGCAGATGTTGAAGTAGCTGTGGATTGTCCCGTCCCCAACATATCACAACTGACTTTGCTCTATTTCTGCTTAAAACCTTTGCATTCGAGACAATCCTGTTTGTCTGTTAGCAACAATGGCTACGTCTCAGTGAATTTTACAGATGCAGCACTAAAGTCTGGCGTAGTAGTAGCTGAAAGTCTGGTAAAACATATACTCCAAGTGCAACCAGATCATTGAGAAATGGCATCAGATTGAGCTTAATGTTACTTTCAAGGCTTAACCAAAATGGCTGGCATAAGATGATTTTAAACTAATTTTCAGCATGAAAGGCGGTGGACAATATGCGTTCCTTTAAGGGATGTTAGGCAGTTTAAAAACATGTTTTTTTTAGTTTGTGCTTCTGTGTGAGGGCATAAAAAGGCATCTGCAACCATAAATCAAGACAAGATGTTAGCTGAGAGCTTGTGAAATAGCCCTCTGGTAAGCAGGTGTGTAATACTCGCAAGACGGGTGAGTGACTGTCATCTCGCCTTCTGAGTGGGCTGATTTGCACGTGTGTGGCCAACTCGCTGTCTAAGTGTGTGTTTGTGTCTCTCCATGTGTTTGTTGTTGCATTTCTAATTATGGATCACAGCAGCCCGTAATGATTGTGCGACTCTGCAGTGACGCACCAGCCTGTGTGTGGAGAGCTGCAACCGATTTAGGCGTTGACTCAGGGTGAGGGCCTCGTACGGCATCAACAGGGCGTGTTCGCCATATTTTTGGTGAGTGCGACACAGGTGGGGTGATGGCTACTCGCTTCCTCTCACAGGAAATCATAAATGCAGCCACTTAGCTTTGATTTTGCCTCTTCCCCTCGCCTAATGACTGCCATACTGCCGCCACGGCTTGGAAGAGAATGAAACTGGCAGCGGGAGTCGGGCTTTCTGAGCAGAAGGAGTGCACCTGCACAGAGAACAAGAGGAGGGAGTCGGACCCCAGGCTGCTTTCCTTTCACTCGTCTTCTGTGTGAAGTTGATCATTTAAAGAATGCCTGTCTAATAGTAAATTTGCAATAAGTGCTGGACGGGAGCATCCATGAGAATTTATAATGTTAAACTAAATCTTAATGACCTTAAACTTCAGCTAAACTGTTTAAACCAGTTGTAGGTGGACCCTCTGCATCAAACTGATGAACTGTTTAGGCAGTTTTATTATGATGACTTAAGCACTAAACAACTAGATTAAAGGGATGTTATGAACGCTATTAGAAATGATTGTTGCCCTTTATTGTGGAAATATAGATTTAAAATTCACATTATTATTTTTCCTGCTTTTTATTTTTCTGTGCGTTTATTTCAGTCTAACTACTTTTGCAAGTATTTTTCTTTTCTTTTTTTTTAAGTTATTCATTAAAGAAAACAATTAGAGAAATAAGTTCCAGGACTTTTGGTTTTCATAACTTTTATATTTTTTTCAAATGTTTTTTTTTTATTTACAAATTATTTCTTAAAAGAAATACATTGAGACATTATCTCTTGAAACATTGTTCTATTTGAAATCTGCTTCAGCAAATTTACTTTATTTTCTAATTCTACCTTCAGTCTTTAGCTACCTTTCGGCAACTTTAAACTAGCCTTCTGCTATGTTTAGCTTTTAGCTACACTTGTGCTTATGCAGCGACTAGCTGGCCTTTTGCTACTTTTAAAATTTAGCGAGCCTTTTGCTACTTTTAATTTTTTTAACCTTTTGCAGTTTTTAGAAAATGTTTAACTACTTTCAGCTTTTAGTTTTTTCCCTACTTTTAGCTGGCTTTTGCTACATTTAGCTTTCAGCTATCATTTCACTTCTTTTAGCTATAGCAACTCAGTTTCAGCTTCTTCAGTAAATTTCAGGAAGGTCAGTCAGAACTCGGCACGGATGCCGCAATTTCACTGATAAAGCTAATTTTTTCCTTGTGTGTTTGAGAAATTTTTGAAATGTTTCCATCCATCCATCCGTCCGTCCATCCATCCATCCATCCATTCATCCATCCATCCATCCATCCATCCATCCACCCATATATATCAATTACTTATGATCCGACTGCACCAGCTTAAAAAAGTGGGGTGACACTCCGTCGATACAAGCCACTGACCCCTGGGACACCCTGCTGTGATGGAAGAAGGGTGAGGCTAAGGAGCGTGGAGGAGGTGGCTTGTGGAGGCGGGACTGGAAAACATGGGTGTAGCAATAAGAGCAGGGAGGGAGCGGGGATGGGAACCCCGATTCATGAGAACCAGATGAAGGGCAGACCGGATGACTCTCTGGGGCTATGAAAGGAAGAGAGAAGGAAGAAATGGGCTCATAAAGCTGTCAGAGTCTGCTTGCATCTCTTTATCATGGCTCAGTGTGCACCAGATGCATCGCTTCTTATGAACGCTCCAATCAGTACCCGACATGTGTGCTCTGTCTGATCAGGCTCTGACCCTGAGTCTGATGGTCTCAAGTTGTTTCTAAGAACTGAGGCCGATGGAGTCGCTGAAAGTATCAGTTCAGCTATAATCTGCGAGAGGACCAGTTATTTCTCTGTCTTCTTTGCAAACGTGTTTTGTTTCCCTGGAGGTTGCAACGTAATGCCTCACAAAAAGCTTTTAAACACTTTATGAGCTCACACTAGTGTTGTATTCTTTTTAAAGAGGGATAGGAGTCTCTCTGTGTACAGTAAAATCTGTTTGAAGATGCATAATCTGTTTCCTGTTTTTTTGTTTTGCTTTTCAGTGGAGCACGATAAGGAATTCCTCCCGGTGCGGCGGCATCATCGAGAGTTCAGATTTGATCTGTCACGAATCCCAGAGGGGGAGGCAGTCACGGCTGCTGAGTTTCGCATTTATAAAGACTTCATCCACGAGCGTTTCGATAACGAGACCTTCAGAATCAGCGTCTACCAGGTGCTGGAGGAGCACTCTGACAGGTACGCTTCAATTAGGATTTCATGTAGGATTCACGTTGCTCAGATTCTCTGTTAGCAAAATATCTCTTAAACCAGTGGGTGGAATGAAAATGTCTAAAAGTAATTATTGAATGTCTTTCTAAAAATTGATTCAAGATGGCTGCCAACAAACCCTAAAAACATGAAAATTGCTATGTCTGTTTTACAGATGACTTGATATTTGGTGTGGTAGTAGCTGAGTCTTATCCCCAACACGTAATCTATAAATATTTATTGGATTTGCATTTATAACTCAACTTTTGGCTGCTCAAGCTCATTGATATTAGCCGATATAAAAATGGTTATAACTCATCAGTTTTACAGGTAAAGAGCTAAAGTTTTATTTGTTTGGGACTGAGAGTTATTCACAACACACAGCCAAGCACATCATATCACATGAGGTTTGTGAATAACATTTTCACAGATTTATCAAAATGACTTCAACTGTGTCGTTTCTCAACATATAAATGAGGTTGTTACTACTTTACATGACAGATGTTGACTAACATACCATTTAGACTCAAGGCTCTTAAACACTCAGGAAGTTGGACTCGGTTTATGATTTTTTAGCATGTAGCTGTCAGTTAAATTAATGATTCTCAATTTTCAAAACTATAAATATCACAACAAAAAGGATTATAGAGTAAAATTCTCTCATTTTAAAAAGTGTTTTGTAATGAATAGAGCAAGACATTTTTCTGCGGTCTATCTCGTCCAGAAGGTGTTTTACTCTGAGAAGAGACCGTGTCCTCTAAAGGTCCCTGTTGTCTGCAGGGAACAACACGGTCATTTATTCCTCTGCCAGAACCAGGCCGGGGTACATGAATGGACCAGGGCTCGGTGACACACTATCTGCTCAGTCAGAAAATAGGTCGGGATACATGAATGGCCACATGGAAGAACAAGGGATTTTAGTCTCAATTGTGGAAAGATTAGAAAACCCAAAGTTCACTGTTGGACAAGAACTCTGACTTGGTTCCGCACTAATTCCCTCACAACTTTTCACACGGTTTCTTTTTTTCTCTCTCTCTCTTTCACAGCTGTGTGTTTTGTTTTTGGTTTGTTTGTTTCTCTCTCACTCCTTTTTGGCTTTTTGGTTCAGCCACAGAATTCCAGTCATGATGGATGGTGTGCAGCATATGAAAGGACCACTCGTTTATAAAGCTATTATTGTCAATTAAGAAAATGAAGCGTTCCCCTGGGCCTCGCCATCTGGAGCCCTCCCTCCCTCTCTCCCATCTATCTGTCTCTTTGTTTTACTTCGTCTTCCCCACACGGCTCTCAGACTCAACCTACAACTTTTTGCTTCAGTTTTGATCATTTATGCTGTACACATAATGTTGAAGTCTAACTTTATGTCTTCTGCGTCCTCTGCAGGGAGTCGGATCTTTTTCAGCTGGACTCCAGAGTTATCTGGGCAGTGGAGGAGGGCTGGTTGGTGTTTGACGTGACCGCCACCAGTAATCACTGGGTCCTGAACCCAGGCAGAAACCTGGGTCTACAGCTGGCCCTGGAGAGCACGAGTGGTACGATTTTCTTCTGTCACTTATAGCACAGAAATGTTTGTAGTAGGATGAGATTTTTACAGTAACAACCAAGAAATAATAAAAAAAAGTCAAGTCTTGATCGGAAGTGCAACAAAACACTGCAGGACAAAAATAAACAGGTGGCTGCACACATCTGTGCCTAAACTACACAAGTGCACCATCCATCCATCCATCCATCTATCCATCCATCCATCCATCCATCCATCCATCCATCCATCCATCCATCCATCCATCCATCCATCCATCCATCCATCNCCATCCATCCATCCATCCATCCATCCATCCATCCATCCATCCATCCATCCATCCATCCATCCATCCATCCATCCATCCATCCATCCATTCATCACATCGAATCAAGAATTAGGTCTTAAAATGTTATGTGGACAAATAAGCAGCTTTAGTGCATTGATTAAAGCTTTTGCAACAACTTCATTTTGTCAAAATATAATCAATGGAGCATTTAAAAAAACTATCTTAATTATAATATAAAAAAATGAGGGCCTTTTTTGAGCAGTAGCAACAAAAAAAAAACACGATTTTGAGCAGAAAAGCCTTACATTTTTGTCATTTTCCTTGCAAGCTATAGCAAAGATTTTATTTCTTTCCAGCTGAGAAAATCTCAATATCCAAATATTGTTTGAGATTTTCTTTTCTTAAATGACAGCAAAACTTCCCCATTAGAATAACCTTAAAATAGGATTCAGACCAAATGACTCCAGGATGATCCAGGTATCAAAATTGATCTTAAAATGCAGGAATCTCAAAATGTCCTTTTAACCAAATTTGACATAATCTTCAGTTTCATGTGATGGGCCACAATCATCTATTTTATTTAAAATTTATTATTAGGTCCACAACACATTAAACAGATTAGAAATATATTTTGGTATTTATTATTTTGACATTTATTTCTCATTTGAACTTTCAGTCCACAAGATTTTCTTAATTTCTCAATATTCAAAAAGTTTCATGCTAAAAAAACAAACCAAAGCAAAATGTTCAAATGAAGAAAATTGTATCTCCCTCCACAAGCTTACATTCATTCCAGGATTTGTTTCTCATAAACGGCTAAAATAACAAAAATGGTGTCAGAGTCTGCATATGTTTAGCCTAAAGTATTTATCTCATTTGGTTAAGGTCATTACCAGTTACCACAGTACCTCATAAAATGTCCCCAGAATAAACTTCCAGCTGGATTCAAGTCCAAACAAACCCGTGCAAGCTGCATGTACCGCAGTAAAACAAATACGTGGGATGAGTTTGAGTCTGCAGCTCAGCTACAAAAACCCAGCAGAATCTGATGTTTTTTTTAAATGTGTTCGAAGAAAAGATAAATCAAACCCTGCTCCTCATCCATCAGCAGCAGCCACTCACCACCACCACCATCATCCGTCATACCCTCAGCATCATTAGCAGGCATGCAGTAAATAGACTCCGCTATCGCAGTCTGGAGACACAAACATTTTGTCAGTGGGAAACTTTATCGACAAACACGGCGTAGCGTGCTGAGAATAGCGTCTTTCACGGGATGGCAGGATGTTACTTGTTAGGTGACGAAAAGAGACACTGTTGCTTTCAACTTGTGGGAAGTTTTGTTCTGTATTCATCAGCTTGTGATTGTAGGTTATGAAGCTTTATGAGGGAACATGCAGAGACAAGCACAGGGGAAATCCTGTCGCCGACAATGACAGAGAAGGTGGAGAGAGGATGAGGGCAAAACCGAAAAGGACTTTACAAAACAAGAGTTTTTTTTAAATGGACTCACCAAAAACAGGTTAATGAAGTGGTAGAAGTAAAGTAAAATAAGATAAAATAAGACATATCAAAGGGTTATGTGAATTGACTGCAGTGATCAGATCAACTGGATAATGGCAGTTTAGGCATGCTGTTGGTCTCAGGAGAGGTAAGACATTCAGACACAGGATGTAATTGGTGTAGTACTGGGCTGTCAGGGTCCCTTGAATCATTACCAGGGGTGACCTAAAGTCCGACCCTGTAGTTCCCCCAAACCACGGTACCTGGAGTAACAATGGTGTGCCTCTTCTTTAGAGTACACAACGGTCATATGTAGTAATGCAGAACTGAGGTTCATTGCTGACTTTGACACAACACCCTCTATCATCAGTCCATGCCTATTAGTTATGGCACCATTCCTAAAGCAGCTGTTTACACTCTGGTGTTAATGGCAGCCTGTACTTGAGACGATAAACTCCTAGGGTATGATCCACTAATATACGTACCAAATAGCAAACGCTAAACTGCACGTGAAAATGAAAAATTGCTAGTAGTGGGCGTGGTGCAGGTGATCTACTAAGATGCAAAAGTGGTGGGCACTGCTCTGTTGAAATAAAGATTTTGCGTGTGCTAATGGCTGTCACCACGGAGAATTTGGCAGAGCAGAGTGGCCGTAAAAGAGAAATGAAGTTCGAAGCCATGGAGTTGAAGGTCTTGATGGTGGAGGCAAATGATCCAGATGCAAGATAATGCATAGGAGATATGACATGGCTTCTGTTTGTGACTGGTTCCAAATAAGCCTTTAGATCCTTCAGCAGCTCAAAAATGGGATTGTTGGATAGACCAGTGGTTCTCAACCTGGCTCATTGTTTTTATACAACCCCCCACACCAACCCCCAACAAAAAAGTCCATTTGAAATTTGAATAATTAAAACTCTTTAAAACTTAGTTCTTTTTCTTCTGTTTCTAAATTAAGGTTTGTAAGTAAGAAACCACGGGACTTTGAGGAAATTGGGTTGTAAACCACTGGGATAGGTGGTGTGTTTCTATTGATTTTATTTCTGACAGTCCAAATATGTTGACAACTGCACAGAACATTCTCTCTCCCTCCTTCGTCATTATTGTACCAATGCCACCCGCATTTGTTTTCAACTCTGTGCCAATTTGCACCTACCTCGCAAACAACGTAAGTGTAGATGCAAAAAGAGCAATCATAATCTGTTTCAGGTTTGCTAAATCACACTACGGACACTAAATGATTACATTTGTATATCTTCCTTCCAGTATTTTGCATATAATCACCATATATTCTGCATTGTCATGAAGGCAAAGACGCTAAATGGATTGCGGGTGCTATTTTGCTCGTTTGATAGACGCAATCCTCGGTGCGCAAGGTTAGTAGATCAGCTTTGCGTGCTATCAAGTTTGCACGTGTTTTTATCCAAGCAAATCTTTAGTAGATCAGGCCACTAATGAGTCGTCATGGTCATGGTGCAGAATTACATGGTGTAAAGAGTCAAGCACCTGTGTTTGTCATGTGCTTCTGTAATGCTTGGTTCAAAATACATCTTTCATTGTTGTGATCTGTCTCAGGCAAACAGAACCTTCATGACATACTGTAAATAGGTGCCCTCAGGTAGGGTTGGGCAATGTTGGCAAAAAAAATCATTTGTCGTATTTAACTGATAACTATTAATATAACGATTAAAATAATATGGTATTTGGACTTTGCATGTTGTTGACTCTAACTCGGTTACCCTGTGTTCTAAAATTAACTTGCAAGTCATTAGTAACTTCTTCATTTTACCAGCCACGGCTGCGACACATGTTATCTCCTTCCAGCTCTTACTATGACGCTCAAAAGAGACAGATTGACTGAGTGCATCATGGATTCTCAGCTGAGTAGATTTGTTTCCACCATTCACTGGATGAGAGTTGGTTGTAGTTGACATGGCCTCGGTCTGCATATTTTCATTTCCTTCATACTCTGGTTTATGGTGGTGTTCCAGGTGATCAAACAAGCTTGTAGTGTTTCTGTGTATTGTCTTCACTTTGCCTTTGCACATCTTGCAAATAGTCACACTTCACAAAGCCAAATTATTTCCGCACAACAGAAGTTAAACCTTGTCTAGGAGTGAGCCGCTCCTCTGTGATGTTACATGTGCGCTTACAGGTGATAGTGATAAACGCAGAGACATAAATATACATCATCATCATCATTACGCAGCACTAATCATAGTAATCGCAAAAGGGCAAATATACATCTATGACAGATTTTCTGACAATTTTCTCACATAATGCATTTTTTGCACAGTGTACCTTTAGGCACACACTGGTTCCAACATCAAGTAACATTTGTTTTACGCAAAATGTCCACCTAGCCTCATAAGAATTCAGCTGTTTGTACAGCAGCTCCTTGCAAGTTAAATAGTTTAAACACTAACTGTCAGTCTACCTTTGTATGAAATTATGATCAAATCAGATCATTTCTCCTGGGTGCTTCATGCTTTTTTGTCAGTGAGTGTAGGAAGTAGCAACACAGACCCACATAGAGGTTTTAGAAAAGAACCACATGCACACAAATATCTAAACTGAGGCATGCCGACCACACACATATTTATTTGATTTTTAAATGAGCGCTCTCTCCGAAGGCACAAAGCCATTATTTTTGTTGCTGACACCTGTTCTGTTTTCTTTCTTTTCCTTTTCCCCCACCCCACCCCTCAGGAGAGAGCATCAATCCTCGAGTGGCAGGGCTGATTGGTCGCAACGGACCCCAGAATAAACAGCCCTTCATGGTGGCCTTCTTCAAAGCAACAGAGGTGCACCTGCGAAGCATCCGCTCGGCGTCAGGAGGGGGCAAACAGCGAAACCCCAACCGAGCCAAAGCTGCGAAGAACCAAGAGGCGCTCAGAGTGGCTAGCATCGCAGGTGAAGCGGGAGTGGGGTTCTGCAGACTTTCACTGCTAATTTGCACAGAATTTAGAATTTATTCACACTTAAATTAGAAAAGCATCAGTGTATGCTCTCTGTGCACACAGTTAAACAAGTAAAACACCAGAGCTTGTGCATTTCCGTTGTTTTGTTCTGTGTTTATGTGGAACGCTGAAACATTAGACTGCACAGCCTCAAAAATCCCTCTGCTGTCTTTTGTTTATTTACTCAAGCATTACTGAGCAGTTGGGGCCAAGTTCCCTGTGTGGAGGTAAGGCACCGCAGGCTTTTATGGCAGAACACATCTGTGGTGCGCTGTGGGGCAACCAGGCTCTGGACACATGGGCCAAATGGGTCTGTTTGGATCTTTGGATACCAGTGGTTCTTTAGCTCCATGATGAGAACCAGTCGCTCCTAATCAGTTCCCATGTGAACACCCTTTCAAGCACTAATGTACCACAGAGCCCTGCTTGGTCACCAGGAGGGGAGAAAGATACAGACGGATGGGAAACAGATTCTTCTTCTTTTTTTACTTGGTTAGAAGAAAACGGAGAGCTAAAATGAGTGGAGAAAGGAAAAAAAATACAATAAATCTGACTAAGCTACGCTGTTTCAGTGGAAGCCGCAAGAGTTCCCTGAAGTCAGGGTGGCCCGTTCGAACGACTCACTAAAACGCATCTGGAGCCGTTACTTTAACGTTAATGTTGTTAAGAATAATACCCGCTGCGCTGTGGTCTGTTCTTCATCATTCTTCCCCATTTAAGCTTTGACTGTGCTAAATAATTGCTCTTGTTTCTAAATGGGATAATAAAACATAATCTATTTGTTCTTTCTTTCTTTTTTTATTTTCCAGAAAACAGCAGCACTGATCAGAAGCAGGCGTGCAAGAAACATGAACTTTATGTCAGTTTCCGAGACTTGGGATGGCAGGTACAGAAACCATACCTCAATTAAACTATTTCAGTAACAATGTTGTCAGAATAAAATGTCTTTTTGCATTTCAAGTAAGCATAAAAAACATTCATCCGTGAGCTAAAACCCATTCATTTCAAAGACTGGGGAGTGACTTTTATCTAGGTGGCCCAAGTTTAAATTTTTTCTCTTCATGACATCCAAAAACATTTGTCACAAAACTTCACACTGTGGCATGACAGGCATAACTAGGGTTGTGTGAAATCTTTATGAGCATGCAGCATCTTACCTGTACTACACAATCCTCAGCTCAATCTCAGCTAAGAGACTCAAAGAAGTCTGTCACCTCTCAGAAAGAAAGTTTTCTGCAACGCAGCTGCATCCACCAAATTTAATAACATTGCTGATTTGTGTTTATAGAATAACCTCTGAACTCTACCCACAATGCCGTGCTCAACAAAACTACAAATTGGTTTATTGTCATTACTTCTGTGTGGAAGTTTTCTCTGGTCTCCTCTCACAATTTAAAAACACACATTAAGCTCATTAGTGGGTCAGATTGATTTTATGTGTGAGGGTACATGCGCGGTTTGCCCTGTGGGTCTCAGTGTTGGTCCTGTGATGGTCTGGTGACCCTGTTCAGCGTACACCCCACCTGACCCTGAAACCCTGGATTAGGCAAGCACAGAGGTGAGACCATGGAGATATATATAACAGCTGGAGTGCTCAGAAACCACGTGACCGTGTGATCGGCTGGTGAAGCTAACGGCTAACGCTAAACGGTCAAGA